GTCTTAGCGAAGGTGCTTTTAAAAAAAAAAAAAAAAAGATGATCGCTAATGCCTGTAACGTGCGTTAATGGCCAACTCAGTCCTATGTCCCTAGCCCGCTTTGCAGGGAGTCTGGCAGCACCTTCGAGACACTCACACAATGCAGACTTCTGCGGGTTATGCCCTCCGAAGCTCAGGAGATCGTCCACCCTTTTTTTGTTGGTCTCGAAGGTGCGGCAAGACTACTAGCAAAATGCAGGACAGTGTAGCACTTTAAAACGTGCGTTAATGGCCAACTCAGTCCTATGTCCCTAGCCCGCTTTGCAGGGAGTCTGGCAGCACCTTCGAGACACTCACACAATGCAGACTTCTGCGGGTTATGCCCTCCGAAGCTCAGGAGATCGTCCACCCTTTTTTTGTTGGTCTCGAAGGTGCGGCAAGACTACTAGCAAAATGCAGGACAGTGTAGCACTTTAAAGGCTAACAAGATGGTTTATTAGATGATGAGCTTTCGTGGGCCAGACCCACTTCCTCAGATCAAGTGGGTCTGGCCCACGAAAGCTCATCATCTAATAAACCATCTTGTTAGCCTTTAAAGTGCTACATTGTCCTGCATTTTGCTTCAGCTACCCCAGACTAACACGGCTACATTTCTATCGCAAGACTATTAGTTATTTACATTTTTTCAGTGACAGACTAACATGGGTATACCAACACAACTTGCAGCATGTATGAAATGTGAAAATTCACACCTCACTTTGATATTTTGCTCCGAATGTCCTAATTTTTGGTGGGAGATGCTACATTCCCTTCCATTTGGAAGCTGTGGAGCTAGTATAGTGTGTAATACATACTGTATTTGATCCATAGTAGTGAGACTGTGATGGGGGTGACACAATGTTAGTTATAAATTGTACACTTGTCATTTTTGAGTGTCTAAGAGTATACTGAATGCTCCGTACTCCAGGAAAGGAATAGTTTCTGTCCCATAGACATATAGTCTGAGGTTTCTTTGTTCTGCAATTGAATCGGCACAATTGGAACCGTTGTCTTAGTCTGCCCATCCAGATTCACTTGCACGACTGGAGCTGGTATTAGATATGACCCACAAAATGAGTGTTGTAAAGAAGGGGGCTGATGAAGGGTAAGATGAACAATGTAATCTCTTGGGATTTCCATAGGGCATGCATGCAGCTGAGAGGGTCCGGTTATGTTTGCTCTTTAACATGCATTTCATGCATGACACAGCAGAAGTGAGTTTCCAAGAGGGATTTGAATGGAGCATGTTCACACTTGAGGAGGAGCACAGAAAAGAGTACAAAGGTGTGAGTAGCAGTGGCTGGAAAAGAGCCTATAAAAGAAAAATATATGGAGGAAAAGGAAAAATAGGACCTCTAGTTTGAAAATTCATCTGGTGTGTAGTGGTGTTTCAAAGACAGGATGTTAGTTTAATCAATTAACCATTTAACAAATAAGCTGGTACTCATTGATTAACAGTGTTGTTAAACTGAGCCACTTTCCAGAGAGGCAGCCTCACTGCAGCAGGACATCAAAGCCACCTCCCCCGGAGCCAGGAGCGAAGGCTGCGGACTCACTTTGCTGTTGCAGTGGAGCCTCCTCTCTGGAAGTCCGGCTAGCGGGGGCTGCCAGCCCAGTTTACAGGGAGGCTTCGCTGTGGGCTCTGTAGTATATAGCTAAGCTTTACACTACAGGGCTTGCAGCAAGTGTAACTGCTAAGATTTTTAGTGGTTACCCAGATACCTTAATACACAATTTTTAACATTCCTGACATAAACTAAGTGATGAGCAAGAACAATACTTTAGAACCTTTCTCTCAACACTTGGCTTTTCTTGTCCTCTGTACCGCTCCCTCCTTTTTTTCTTTTTCTTTTTCTTTTTCTTTTTTTGTGTTCTGTGGTTCTGTGGCTTTGAAGTTAAGGGATAGATAAATAAACTTTTAACTCTACATGGCACTTCCCAAAGCACTTCTGATTTGTTTTACATAGCTTCATACCAAGCCATTCTAACCAGGGATGTTAAAATGGTTAACCGGTAAGCATACCTGTAAGCCTCAGACTTACTGGTATGCTTTCCGATTAACCAGTCCCTGCCAATGAATTTGACCATGGAAGGGCTAGACAGCGAGCTGGGTGGCAAACCCTGAGTTAAAACAGTTAATCGGTCAACTGTTTTAATATCCCTAATTCTGACAGATTCTTAGCATCATTCTGGTGAGCTGTGATCCGTGGGCACGTCACTGACTAGCTCTGTGACTCATGTTCCCTTGGATAAAATGGGGATAATTATCTCATAGGGATGTTTTGAAGGTTAGATTGCCAATGGTAGCAAAGAGCGAATGTCATCCCTTGCATCATTGAATGTGTTTTACTAGCAAAATGATTAATCTACACAACTCAAAATAGACCAAAAAGAGACTAGAGAAACCCGTGTATCCTGCACTTACAGTGGTCTGACTATTGATGACTAGCTTATACTCTGCCACAAAGCTCACCTAATTAAAACTCCAGCAGCAGACTGTGGTTTCAGAGTTGGGTGGGCCTTCATTGAGAATGTGCTTCCTGGTATGCATGCTATGTAGTGGGGCCTTACATAGATCATACTTCTACCTTTCCAGGCTATCTATCTGAAGACCTGGGAGGGTAGCACTGTGTCAGTTATGCTTAGCTCGAGGTTACCCTGACAACCCTAAGAGCTAAACAAAAATTCCATTTTTAAATGAAATCCTGGATTCTGCAGACATTGCTAGGGAAGGCTGAGAAAGATTCCTACTTGCTGTTGACAGTGGATTTGCTTGTGCTTGCAGTGTGCCAAAATAGATTGGCTATTTGCTGTGGTTTTGTTGTACATATACAGTACTGGGAAGTGGAGGGGGGGTTGATTTTTCTTCCTTTGGTTTGTTGTATAAGAGCATCTAGTAGATTACAAGGGTTGGGTGGCATTTTCATACACAGGATGAGCTATTGTTTTCTGCAGCATTAGCTGAGGTCTCAAGCACAGCCCGTTGCAGCCATTTGTCGCTCTGTCGTGGCAGAAGGAACCGTTATGATCTCATCTGATCTCCTGCATTGCACAGATCTTCTCTTGAGGTTCCCAACACATAAATTGCTATAAGGAGACTGGTATTAGGTTTGCCATTCATATCTAACTTTATGCATCGCTAACACCAATGAAAACACAGTTACTGACCCAAGCAGTGCAGTTTATACACACACAAGACGTCAGACAGGAGTAGCTGCAAATGAGTTTTATCAACCCTTTAATTTTTTTTTAACAAAAAATCAATTGCTCTCTTACAGCAATCCTTTCCTTAATTCTTTTTTTTCCTTCATGCTTTGATTTCTCATATCCTAACCATTTCCCTTCTTCTCTTGCCTTCACCTGTGGTCTCGGTCTTTTTACCCAAGTAGTTTTTTCACTTTTTCTCACACTTCTGTTATAGACCTTCTACTACTTCCACATTACCATTCTTTGAGTGAAGTACCCTATGCAATGTGACTAAGAAAAGTAGGTTAAGTGATATGAAGCACTGTGAGAGGGCACTACTGGACTGTTTTTATTGTTGCTATGCTGAGGAATTCTAGATAAAACTCAGCTGAGAATTTACATGGCTTCATTCTTTTTTCTTGTCATAGGTAAGGCATCCATAACAGATCTGTCCCCATGGCCAGAGGCCTTTGTGCTGAGGAGCACAGAAAGAAGCTAATGCAAATTGCTGTTGTTGTGTCTTCAAGCTTTGGCTTCCCTAATTATTTGGCATCCTGCTGTCCCGACATGTGTTTTGTCTCAGTGAAGAGAGAGTGAGCTTTTTAAGGAAGGTGGCAGTCTGATATCTCCTCAGGAGTAGCAGCCACACCTGGGGCTGTAACTGATCACCATTCTGACACCTCCTAAACAGGTTACATTGGTTGCTTACCCAGGCTGGCTATGCTAGATCTTTGTATGGCAATTTTCCCATCTTTGCAAGCACTCATACAGCCAAGGCCCCAGATAGTGAAGTACTACGTCACCTAAGCCTGTAGAAAACTTTCCCAGGTCTAAAGAATGGATTCTCTTTGGTATCTGTACTGTTCAGTTAAGTATTAATTTCCAGCATGTGATAATGGAACACCAGTTTTTTAACTTTGGGAGTTTTATCTGGTGCTTTTCTTCCCTCCCTGTGTGTAACAGTCACTAGCAACAATGTTTAAACAACAGCTGTTTAGGCCTGAGGGTTCCAGTCCATCTTGCAGACTAGTTCTGCTCCAGCTTTCTTTCTGTGTCCTCCTTTGTAAGAAAAACCCTCTACTGTATCCCCAGCCTGACATTGTGTAGGTTCAGAATACTTCCATCTGTGGAGCAATGGTCATCCATGGGCCTCATTTTGAGAACTACTGGGCGTTCTGATTGGTGCTCCTTAATAGAACTGAATCATTTACAACTCAATCTAATAAAACTATTAGAGCTTTGAAGATAGTTAGAAAAGTGTTAAAGGGACAACAACAGCTTGAAATCTAATCAGTTTAAAAAATAGAAATGTTTCCCCTAACCTGAGAGCCATTTTATAATGTGGATTTCCAATCCTATCAAAATTCTATAATACATCAGGCTTTGGAAAATAAGTTGGGTAGTTGATCTTGGGTAGAGTTTTGTGTGATAGTTTTGGGCAGTATTCTTAGCTGCTGACTTGCAGGAAAACGCCTGATACTCACTAACTCTTTGTGAACAAGTGGGAAACCAAGTCTCTTTCACTCTCTAACTACTATAGTGTTAAAGGTTGTGTTTTTAAAAAATGCATCATGATAGATGGAAGCCACTCATTCTTCATCTGCCCTTTTTTCAGTACCTGGAGGCAATTCTGAGCCCAGTAAGTTGTGATCCATGGCTACAGTGATAATATGCCGGAGATTTCCAGGAAGAGTTCGCAGCATGGTTGCATTTTCAACTACGCCCAAGTGCAGAGCCAAGAAGAGAATTCCTAGTAGAAAACAAAAGGTGGATAAGAGCTCTGAAGTGAGCAGCACAGGTGCCAAAGCAGCAGTGTCTTTCAGATTGCTGAACCCTCTGGAGTACAGAGTACTTTATAGTCCATCCGCCTATACAGGAATCAAAACTGCATCCCACCGGAATGCTGCTAGAAACTGTGAAAACAGTGAAGAGCTGCTTGAAAACGAATTCTCCAGCATCAGTGCTAAGCAGGGTCAGAACACGTACAGCATCACCTGTTCTCGAAGCCTGTCAAGCACTAAAACCACCTTGCTGGATCTGGAATTCAATAAAACGCTTTCCACACAGGCCAGCTCAGCACACCCAGCCACGGTGGAGTCCAAGGAAGACACATTGCTAGATGCTGATTTGGAGGCTTATGACACTAAGGAAGACCCCAGAATGTTTCAGAAGAACAGGCCTGAATACCAATCCCTGAGTTATGACAAGTCTGAGACCTTACCTGTCCTTCCTCTAGAAGAAGGTGACTTGATATTACATAAAGTAACCGTGCTTAAGAGTAGCCTGATCCCGGGAACCATTGTGGAGTACTTTTGCAAGCTGAGCTGTTTGCCAGGGGAGCAGCATGTGATCGTGAAGTCCAATACTAAGTTTACAATGCTGTGTCGTTATGGAGTTGAAAACATCCAACTGTTTACCTCCTTGGAACTCACTGATCTTTTAAGGGCCTTTGTCCATTTATCCATTCCACCAACCCACTCCATGCTGAATGTGTATGAGACTGAATTTTGCCGTCGGGTCTGGGACATGAGCCTGGATCAGCTGCTGCTGGTGGCTGACCTGTGGCGTTGCTTGGGACGCAGTGTGCCTCGCTATTTACAGATCTTCTTCAGTTATGTTAACTTGCATCGGACAGACCTCACCTTGCCCCAGCTGGTTCAGCTGCTTTATATCATCGGTGAAGGCCGGAGGGTGCCCCAAGATTTAATGCAGAAGTTGGAGTCCTTAGTGTTGAAGTACTTGGATTCCCTCAACTTGGAGGAAGTGGGCACTGTTTGCTTAGGGTTCTTCAAGTCCAACAGTGCCATTTCTGAGCATGTCATGAGAAAAATTGGAGACAAAGTGGCAGCCCAGATGGCAGACATGAGCAATTATGCTTTAGTGAATGTACTTAAGATGTTCCGCTATACTCACGTCGATCATTTGGAATTCTTGAAGCAACTGGGGAGAGTTGTTCCACCTCGGATTGGTACTATAGGCATCCAGGGTGTCATGCACATAACTCTTGCCTGTTCGTCCTTGCGGTACCTCGATGAAGGGATTATGAATGCTGTAGCCTCTTCGTTGCCTTCCAGGGTGATATATTGCCGAAGCAAAGACCTTGCTAAATTCTTGTGGTCCTACGGATGCCTGAATTACGAACCGCCAAATGCAGAGAGTTTTTATTCCAGCCTCGTGGAGCAGATACACAGAAAGCTGCATGAATTTGAGAAGTTCCCTGAACATCTCCTCACCTGTTTGTTGGCTCTGGCATTTGCTGGGCACTTCCCAGATGACTTGATAGATTACGCTCTGAGCGCTGAATTTATTCAGTTAACCAGGGAGAGTAAATTTGAGCTCAAAAAGGACCTGTTCACTCTTGGTGGCAGTGTAGAGATTGAGTGCCCAGATTACAAAGGTAATCGCCTTACGCCACAGCTTCGGCAAGAGGTTACTGAGATGCTGTGGAATTCTGCAAAGAAGGAAATCTGCACAAAGCCAGACGTGACAGAAGCGGTCTCTCTACTTGAATTAATGTTAGGGGGGCCCCAGTATGTCAAACACCACATGATTTTGCCTCACACTAGATCGGATGATGTGGAGGTCCGCTTGGGCCCAGACCGAAAGCCGTTACCATTTAACTTAGAAGCTGCCACAGTCACTACCAAAGGACTACAAGACGTTGGAATCAGTCTCACAGATAACTTAATGAATCAGCTGCTAAAGGGGAAGTCCAGTGGTAAGTCACTTGTGGGTAATAAAACTCAGGCAGAGACTTGTAGCCAGGAGGCGGCAGTAGAACAGAAGCAGGCTCCACCCCCATCGAATCATTCTGTGTTTTTACATGAGGTTCCTCTGACTGACACCATTTTGAATGTTTTGACCAAATCGAAGACTTCTCCTGAAAACCATCCCTCCCAGCTGAGGCTGCAACCCAGAGAGGTGAAGCTGGCCATTCAGGTGTCAAACAGGAACCACTACTGCTATGGTTCTAAACGGTTGCTGGGACTTCACAGCTTGAAAAGAAGGCAGCTACAGAAACTGGGGTACGTGGTGGTCGAGCTGCCCTTCTGGGAATGGTTTCCTTTGCTCAGGCGGACCCGTTCAGAGAAGCTGAGCTACCTGCACCACAAAGTATTTGACTCAGTTCTTTAAGAATAACGGTATCCCCAAAAAGCTGTTGGACAGATTAATTACTGCATCAAGTTCTGTCAGGGAAATCTGCCTGTGTGTACAGCGGGAAATCGCTATATATACAAATGCTTCTCTTTGTGTCTGCTCCCTGTTGAAAATGGTTCTTAGGGTAACCTCCTTAAGCTTTGGTGGCTGCTGTGTAGCCAGAGCTGACTTGGCAACCATGTTAGTAGGTTCATCCTCATGTAAATCCCTAGCTTGTTCTGTTTGGTAAACCGATCCCAGAGTGATTCTATTACA